GTACGGCAGAGGCTGGCGGTGCCGCCAGTGCCACTCTGCCTGGTGCACTGGCACGTTCACGCGCTGCCTCTGCCGGCGAGGCGCCGGCGGAGGCGGGAGGAACTCTGCGGGGAAAGGGGTGGCGGGGGCCTTGCCCTTGGCATTGTTGCTGCCGGCGCCGGAGAAGAGCCCCATCTCGCTGTGGTTCTGGTGGCTAGGGTTTGCCGGCGACGGGGGAGCAAAGCTTGCCAGATGTGGACGGCGAGTTTGGATGAGGATAGCCCCGCCGCACGGTTGGCTTAAAAAAAACGAGCGTCGTCGCTGACGCGCGGGCCTGTGATCATAAATTAAGCTGACCGGGTGGGCAGCGGTTAGTTGGACGGCCGTCAGGTTGGGACGCCAAGGACAGCGAGAAGGCGCCCGTGACGTCCGTTCGGCGTCCGCGCCTACGCATTTGAGCCGCAAATGCGTCAGCGCAGACGCGATGCGGACGTGATTTGGATTTGGGTCGGCGCGTTGGGCCGCCACTTTTGTTCGCGCCGATCCAAACACACGGCGACGGATGAAATGGTCGCCCTTTGAAGTTGCTCTAACAGTGCTGCTCCCCAGATTAAGGATGAACATGGTGTACGTTGTCCTATCTGTAAACGGGAAGCGGCCCCACCACGGTTAGTGGAGCTGACTTCTCTCAAGGAATCCTGATCCAGTGTTCCTAGCCAAATTTTCAGGTTCTTTTAGAGCATCTACAAATCGGACGGATCAAATCCGGCCCAAAATGTTTGCGGGCGCGTCAATGCTTGTCTGCCTTTAAATGTTCTAATCGTTATTTTTAAAACCTCAAATCAATGCAAACACTGCACATCTATTATTTACACATAATAATTATGAACACCACACGCAAAAAACATATATTCGTACATAAATATATGTTGTTCAATCATAAAACTTATTTAGAGTTCATCATTGAAACATAAAATTCATTCATATTTTAGCGTGGGCGGACCTATATTCCGGGTTTCTCAAAATCATGTGTGTGGGCTCAATTTCATCCTTCATAATTATGTTGTGTAAGATTACACAACATGTCATCAGCTCCTAAAGTGTCTTCGGTTTTGACATAACTGCAACTCCACGAAAAATACCACAACGATGTTGGAGCACTCCGAATGCACTCTCGGCATTCTTTCCAGCACCTTCTTGCATTTGCGCAAAGAGAGAATGTTTCCTACCTCAGGTTTCGGATATAGTCTTCACAAACGTCGTCTATTGAGGATGGATATCATCAGCAAGATAGTAACCAATTTTATAATTGCGTTGGCGGTGTAGTTGCACGTCGGACCATCCCAATCATAAAGACTCTTGAACAAAGGAGGTCGCTAGAGCACATTGATGTAATTATGAGAACCATGTGTGTTAAGAAAAGCATGACAAGTCTACAAGTCCTTTGATGTCACTGCTTCAATTATGATGGTGGTATTTTTGGTGTTACTTTGGTAATGCCCACGGAAACCTTTCGGACCAGTTTTTCTATTGGCAATGTATGCAATCAACTGAGCCGAAGATACATGAGAAACCTGTTCATGCTTAAATTGCCAAAAAAAATTGGTGTCCCCAAGAATTTGTTCTCTCGGCAACTCCGGTCCAAACACCTTCATCACGGTGCATGCAAATTTCACTGTACTTAAGGCATGTGATGTCTTCCATCCAGATTTCAACATCAATGGCATTTGCGGCTTTACGATAAGTAAGTATCCCGAAGCCATGCATTTCCCCAAAGGAGAGAAGGAAAGTTGTCTGCAACAATCCTTTCTCGGCTTGAAGTAGTCATTAGTCTCCTCCAGGACATTCACTAAGCGCAAGAACAACTTTCTCCTCATGCGGTAGCAAAGTCAAAGAAAACATCATGGTATGTTATGTCCACTGTGAAGTAGTCCTTGTAGAGAAGCCGTGCGCCAGCGATCATATCCGGGGGGACAACTGTACCGTCGTTTATCGAACCCTTGAAGTTAGAACATGCTCCTCTTGCTTCTCCATTTCTTCTTGGATGCACATCATCATCATTTTAGTATCTTCATCATTCAAATCCGACGAATCGACTAACTCTTTGTATATGAATTCTTCGAGATCCTTGTTCCCATAGTCATCATCCGATGAATTCATCATTTGCCTACCACCAAGCAAAAGAAGTAAAAATTGCTTAGACATTTCATAGAACATACAGAGGGCGAGGTGTATGTCCAGAAGAGTTGGACGTACAGGGCGGCGTTCGGTGGCGGCACAAACGACGGTGTCGTGGGTTGGGGCCTCTGATGGCAGCGCAATGGGTTGGGGACGACAGCGGGGTTACAGTGGCAACGATGCGGACGAGACAGTTCATATGTAGGCTGGGAATTATAGGTGCTAGATGCTCCTACCGAGTGCATCAATTTTTATCTCCTTGCGACTCGTGAATAAAAAAACCCTAAGATACCTTGTTGCCAAACTCACGCTTATAGGTAGATGAGTGTCCCGAGTGAGCGGAGATTGTGCAGGACCGACGAGAATTCTGTAGGCGCCACAAATGAACTCCATTTGTTAGCGAGTGTGCCTCTACTATAGTGGAAGCTGAAGGCGGCGGCCTCATCGGTCTCTATGGTGAGGCTTGGGGTAGTTTCTCGTTTCGATGATGGTTGTTGTTTGGTTATGTTCTGGGCGCAATATACATTGTCGTGAATGGCTCTTGGACGACATCTTGTTTGGGTCTTGGTGGTTCATGCATGTTGTTCGCTCATTGATTCCTAGGCGCATAGTGGGAGTGGTGTGTTGATCCATTTGGGACTGAAGTTGTAGTCGTGCGACCTTGATTTTATGGTATTGAGCGTGACACCATCCTTGAGCTATATGCGCCCTTCCTATTCGTGGCTTCGGGGTGAACAAGGTAAGTTGTGTTGACGCTGCGATCTGAAAGGCGTTGTTTCAACCACCCGGGTCTTCTTGCGCGACGCCGATACACCTCTCCATGACGTGTCCTGGAAAGAAAAGAAAAGGCTGGCCACTGCTACCCAATGTTCTCCCCCGCCTCTGGCACCAACTCATCGAGGTGGAGGAGAACCAAATCCCACAAAGGTTCTCCCCCGCCTCTTGGCACCATATCACTGAGCACCGATCCCACAGACGAGTTGTCTTTCTCTAAAAAAGAACATTGGGATCCCTTTCATCCCGGGATCTACCGCTCCTTACCAAATTTCCCGGCATCCTTCACCGAACGCAGAAATCTTATCGGATTACTTCGTTATTTCCGGAAAAAAAATTCCAAGATACCTTGCTGCCAAACACACGCTTACAGAGGCAAACGAGTGACCGGAGTGAGCTCCGGTTGTCGAAGACGGGCGGGAACCCAGGAGGCGCCACGAACACGAACGAGCTCCATCCGTCAGCGTCCCAGTGTGCTCCACCACTACTACCACAAACACGAAGCAGTGCGTGTTCACAAGGAACCAAACGGCCCCGGAAACAACAAACCCGACCCCAACGCTCCGTCCAAGCAGAGCGGAACAAAGGAGCAGGCGCCCCTTGACGGCACGCCAAAACCACCACCACCACCGCAAGTGACAGTACACAACAAGGCTTCCGTCTTCCCGTGGTGGTGTCCCGCTGCCACTACGAGACTACGAGACCCGGCTGTCAATCGCCCCTGTCTACTAAAGCGTCGACGTCGTCACCCCTAGTTGCCTTTGTCTTTGCCTTTGCCTTTGCCGGCACGAGAGTCTGTTAAGTTTCTGGGAAACTTCGCGGCCGGCCGGCCCTCGGATCACCCGAGCAGTCGGCGAACGCGAGGGCGCGGGCCCCGTGATGGGTGAATTTGTTCGGGAGGGAGTAGAAAAAAAAGGCGGACGGCAGAGGCCAGGGGGCGAAGGCGGCTACGTGGTTGCGTGCCCGTCGCTCGCACGCACGCACGGGCCGGACGGGGTCGCGGTCCGCGCCCGTGGAACCAACGGATGGACGGTCGATGGTGGGAAAGAGGCCGCCACGCCACGATACCCCCACTCGAGAGGTGAGGTGAGGTCAATGACGCGGCCTGTCTACTTGCCCGGCCTTTGCCGTCCGGGGAAGCAACGGGGCAGCGGCAGCTCGCGTCGAAAAGTCGCATCTCGCATGTGCATCTGCCTCTGCCCGGGGAAAATCGGGGGCCAACAGCTCACCCCGTCCACAACCGGGGGCCAGGACGGGATGGAATCCTGGGATTTGATCCGATCTCATCTCACTGTACTACACAACCACCGCCACAAACTTTGGCAACGGCAAAGAAAACAAAAGGCCTCTCTCTTGCATCCGAGGTTCCCAACACACACACACACACACACACCAAAGGCGACAGGAAGAAATATCAATATGAAACAAGGGGGCAAAACTCGGGAGAGGTTATTGAATCAACTTATGCAATTCGATTACATGGTACAGCTGCATAACCAACAAGTTTATGTATGTACACACTTTCTTCATCCTTCCTTCCATCCTCTTTTTTACAAGTACAACCATGGTTACATGGCGGTGGTGAGATGAACACGACGATGGCCCGGCACAACTGCAAGGGCCATCTCCATCTTCATCCGGAAAGACCCTTCTTAGAACAAGATTAACACTCATGATATCTACACAACACCTCCTGACAAAACTAACTCGAAGAAAAGGTATAAATAGAAATCCTCTCTTTGATAAGATCGATCCTCTTTGTGTATGCTGCTGATGATGATCATTCTTCTTCTACTACTCTTAATTAACCTTACTTAGTCTTTAGACGACCCTGGCTACCCATCTCATGTTAATTCATCACGTAAACCCGTATGTATGTATGTATGTATGTATATACCACAAGGAACACACGTAGCATATGGTGATACTGCTAGTAGTACGCTAGACGTAGGTACGTACGTACATACGCGGCGGCCGGCGGAAAACTGTACAAGGTCGGTGAGGACGACGGCGGTGGGTGGCTTCCCCCTTGCGGGTCGGCTCTGCTCGGCTCGGGCTGGGGCTGGGGCTCAGGCGCGGGCGGAGAGCACGCGGCCTCCGCCGTTGCTGCCGTGGGAGCCCCGGCAGGCGGCGACGTCGAACCCCTGGATCCTCACCGCCGGCGCGGCGTGCGTGTACGACGGGGCAAAACTGTGGTTACTACTGCTATTGCTATATGTTGGGACGTGGTGGTGGTGGGTGCGGCTGTGGTGGTGGAGGTGGTGGTCAAAAACCGCTGCGAGGTTGAAGTCGGCGGCGGCGTGGTGGCGCTGGTTGAGCAGGAAGTGGGGGTCGTGGACGAGCGGGTTGTCCGCGCGCGCCGGCGGCGAGCCGCCGAACAGCGCCCAGCCCCCCTCCCCCTCCTCCTCCGACTCGTCGTCGACCTCCCGCGTTTTGCTCTTCCCTTCTCTCTGCTGCAATAACAAAGAACAGGTTCTTGTAAGACAAATATCCATACACCAAAAAAATCAAGGCCAAGAAACAAAAGAACATGGAAATTTTCTTGCAAGAACTGGTTGAGGATTGGGAGGACGGACGGTACCTTTCTGCTGTTGCTGCCGGAGGAGGCGTCGAGGAGGAAGGGTGGGGGGCCGAGGATGAGGTCGGCGCTGCATGGCTGGGCGTGCACCCTGCGCGGCCGGGGCGCGCACAGCACCACCGTCGCCTCCGCCTGCCTGCCGCTCCCGGAGGACGACGACTCGACGAACATCCTCCTCATGGTTCCCGTCGGCATGCTCTCTCTCTCCTCAAAGATCTGCTCCTCCTATCTTCTACGTAAATCAGACTCTCTTCAGCTATGGCTAAATATAGCCAGCGATGCGCCTGCGTGTGTTGGCGTCCACTGGGAATAGAAACGGGGTGGATGGAGCGGAGGAACTGAAGCAGCGGAGGGGGCGGTTGGGTCGCCTCTCTCGCTCTGCCTTCCGTGCGTGTGAAGCAGGAGGAGGAGGAGGAAGGAGGCAATGCGATGCGAGCGGTGCTGACCGCCTCGGCCACCACTCATAGATATACCAACCGCTCCTGAGTTGGCGCCCGGCTGGGCAGGTGGACCACGTCTCTCACCCCCAGCGCATTATTTTTCTCTGCCTCCATTTTTATTTTTATTTTTTATTTTTTGGAGGGTAGGCGCGAGACGCTGGCGGTAGGCCAGTAGTGGTGGCGACGCTGGCGCGGTTGCTTCACGATCGGTGTCGAGCGGCAGTGGAGGTGGAAGCCGCGCGCACATGAGGTGCCTGGCCGATCACGTGCGCCGCGCCAACGCAACTTGTGCCGTGTCTCCAGATTGTTCCCCGCGGAACCCAACCCAACCCAGCCCAGCCCGATTTTTTTTTGCTTCGAACAAATGCCGGGGGCATCAAATCGTTATCACGGGCGTGCGACTTCTCCTGTTTGATTTGTGTGTGTGTGTGTGTGTGTGTGTGTGTTAACATCACGAAATATGTACGTGATGATATGATACCGGTGTTTTTAGGGGATTGATGATATGATACCAGTTGACTCTGCGTGTTATTGTGTCTATAGGAGTAATAGATAAGTTTCATGGATACTTTTTTAACAAAACTTTTCATGGATTTTCTTGCTGGATCGGTTTTTTTTTCACTTCACAACTGGATAATTTAAGTGATCTAAAACGGCTTAGAGCATCTGCACCCGTACTTGGCAAATCCGGTCCCTCAAACTCCGGAGACTGATCACACCTCTAATTTCTCTTCTCACGGCCGGACACTTAAATTAGCATACCTTAAATCCATAGTATAAAGCATGCAACTACGTAAACGACGCAATGCACACTGTTCGGCTACTGAATCAGGATATGCCATCAGCACGTGCAGCCGCGTCCATGTCGATCGGCAGCGAGACAGGCCTCAGCCACTCTCATCCTCTCCTTCCCACGGCAGGCACACCGGTCCCGGTAGCACTCATGCTCTAACGGGCCGGTGATGGGGAAAGGAAGATTGGAAGGCTTCCGGGAGAACCGCAATGATCCAACGCACGAGGATTCGAGCGTCCGATGCCCGACGCAATGGACTCATGCCGGACATGTCACGCCTCGGTCGGGCGCAGTCCTACCAGGACCGGTTGAGTGCAATGCGAACGGCCATTGCCTCCTCCAACCCGCACGGGACGACACCCCAGTCAACGAATTCGAGTTGGTCCGAGTTAGATCCGTTGGTCGCAATGACGGGAAAAGCCGAAGATCGCCGAACGGGAGCTTAGGGGCTAAAGAGGAGTTGAGTGGTTAGGGTTTGGTCCGGGGAGCGGATGAGAACGAATATGTGTGAGATCGGGTGGGCAGGCATGGGTCGGGTTCGACGTGGTGGGCAGGCGTGGGGCGGTTCCGATGTGGCGAACATGTTCGGGCTTCCCCATACCCATCTCATATTTTGGCTGTATATGAGAGGCGCCGGTCAACTTGGACATTTGAGACCAGTTTGAGATATATGTCTGAATCAAGGTTTTTTGACCGATCAATATCGGGTCGTCCGTCCGGACGTACGAGAAGGGTTTGAGGCGTCTCTTATATTTGTTTAACGAAGTACTACCTCCGGTGCTATTTTCAGTTCTCAAGGTGCTAGCCACACGCGCCTGAAAATTCTAGATCTATTCTTCATTGTAATTGCAGTACAAAGAAAACATAAATAACAAAAGGTATTTTTATGTTTGTCGAGCATTGAAGCGAGTTGAAGGTGCGTTGATGTCATCATCCGTCCTTTGTTAAAGTTCGTCTAATTTTTTTGTAGTAGATAGCCAAGAATCGTCCTACTAAGACTCCACGTGACAGGTGCACTAGAAAAATAACCGTCGCCGATGTAAAAAATATATATTAAAAAATCCAACCTATAAACGCACGAACGAAGACAAACAAATACCGTACCAAAGCAGATCCACTGAAAACTAGCATGGGCCGTATCTTATGAGATTCCTCTGAGACACACCTCCACGCGTCCTTAATAACGCTAGATGCATCACCGGAAACAGGGACTAAATGAGGAGAAGAAACTTATTTCATCCTTATAGAGTCGCCACCACCTCATCTTTCTTGGTGAGACATAAACCCTAAACAAACTCACAAAGACACCTAAAATAAAGAAAGATCCCTCCTACCAGCAAGGATCATGGTCCACCGCGCCTCCATGACCCTAGGATCACCGGAGTCGGTACGGACTAGCGGCGGCTCCGGCTAGAGGCAGAGAAATCCAAGTTTTTTCTTCTCCGTGAGGCAGCGGAGGCGTGGCTTCTTTATGTTACAAAATTGTTCCCCACAAGATGGCTATACGTGTGTGTATAAGTATTTGTAGAAAAGATGTTTCCGCAAAAATACTAGATAATATACTCTTGCGGTCCTGTACAAATACAAAATGGCAAAGAAGCAAACTCAGTTTAAACCCATGGAACGTCCGTTGGCTTGTTTTCTTTAGAAAGACTAGCATATATGCTCGTGCGTTGCAACGGGGAAAATTGATGTTTTGCACAAGCATAATGTCACACAGCATCGGATTCATTATGAAAAACATGTTGCAACGCAGCATCGTCCTTCTACAAAATGAACATAAAAAATATGTTGCAATTTAGTCGTGTTCATATTTTTTTTGCGGGACGTAATGTCCCACTGATTTCATTTAAATACAATCCTTTTTAATGGCATTTAAATATGATCCTTTCATTAATTACCATGAAGTCCTTACCCGTTTTAATTGGGAATCAAATCCTTTCTTTTCTAATTTAGTAGCCCCAACACATTAAGGCCTATAGACCCTTTCTTTTAATTATCCTACCTTTTTACCTCAAACCCTTCATGTAGAATTTACTAAGACCACAATTTTTCTAATAGTTATTCCACCGATTTACCCATAATCCTTTCTTTAATTAGCCGCATCCGTTTAAATATTATATTTAAGCCCACAATACTTCCTTTATTAGCTCATTCGCTTAATTATCTCTCACTAAACATGAGCCTTGGACCTCACCCTTCCCCATCTACAGGAACGAAGGGCGATTTGTGCGAACCCCGAGCTCTCCACCTCGCCGTTGCCGAATCGGCGGCTCCCTCGCCCTCCGTCCGGCGGCGGGAGGATGGGGGAGGCCCGATTTGCAACGTGTACATAGTGTAGGCGTGCCTAGGGAGCCAGCCGGTGGCATCGTGGAGGCGGCGGCACGACTGAATCGGCTTTTTGCAGGTGTTGGTCTCCCCTTCGATGACGAAGTTCCGGTGGAGCTCCTGATGGGGAACGTAGTAGAAATTCAAAATTTTCTACGCATCACCAAGATCAATCTATGGAGTAATCTAGCAACGAGGGGAAGGAGAGTGCATCTACATACCCTTGTAGATCGCTAAGCGGAAGCGTTCAAGTGAACGGGGTTGATGGAGTCGTACTCGTCGTGATCCAAATCACCGATGATCCTAGTGCCGAACGGACGACACCTCCGTGTTCAACACACGTACAGCCCGGTGACGTCTCCTACGCCTTGATCCAGCAAGGGGAGAATGAGAGGTTGGGGAAGACTCCATCCAGCAGCAGCACGACGATGTGGTGGTGGTGGAGGAGCATGGTACTTCAGCAGGGCTTCGCCAAGCACCGCAAGAGACGAGGAGGGAGAGGGGTAGGGCTGCGCCAAGAAGGAGATGTTCTCGTGTGTATGGCAGCCCAAAACCCCCCACTATATATAGGGGAAAGGGAGGGGCTGCACCCACACCTAGGTTTCCACCCCTAGGGGTGGCGGCCAGCCCTAGATCCCATCTAGGCGACGGCCAAGGGGGGAGAGAGGGGGGGCGCACCCCTAGGTGGGCCTTAGGCCCATCTGAGCCTAGGGTTTTCCCTTTTCCCTTCTCTTTTCGTCTTGGGCCCTGGTGGGGGCGCACCAGCCCACCTGGGGCTGCCCCCCCCCCTCACACTTGGCTCACGCAGCCCTCTGGGGCAGGTAGCCCCACCTGGTGGACCCCCGGGACCCTCCCGGTGGTCCCGGTACGTTACCTATAGCATCCGAAACTTTTCCGGTGACCAAAATAGGACTTCCCATATATAAATCTTTACCTCCGGACCATTCCGGAACTCCTCGTGATGTCCGGGATCTCATCCGGGACTCCGAACAACATTCGGTAACCACGTATATCTATTCCCTATTACCCTAGCGTCATCGAACCTTAAGTGTGTAGACCCTACGGGTTCGGGAACCATGCAGACATGACCAAGACAACTCTCCGGTCAATAACCAACAGCGGGATCTGGATACCCATGTTGGCTCCCACATGTTCCACGATGATCTCACCGGATGAACCATGATGTCAAGGACTTAATCAATCTCGTATACAATTCCCTTTGTCTAGCGATACGATACTTGCCCGAGATTCGATCGTCGGTATCCCGATACCTTGTTCAATATCGTTACTGGCAAGTCTCTTTACTCGTTCCGTAACACATCATCCCGTGATCAACTCCTTGGTCACATTGTGCACATTATGATGATGTCCTACCGAGTGGGCCCAGAGATACCTCTCCATTTACACGGAGTGACAAATCCCAGTCTCAATTCGTGCCAACCCAACAGACACTTTCGGAGATACCTGTAGTGTACCTTTATAGCCACCCAGTTACGTTGTGACGTTTGGCACACCCAAAGCACTCCTACGGTATCCGGGAGTTGCACAATCTCATGGTCTAAGGAAATGATACTTGACATTAGAAAAGCTTTAGCATACGAACTACACGATCTTTGTGCTAGGCTTAGGATTGG